CCGGGGACCTGAACGCCAAACACCCGGCGTGGGGGTCTAGAGTGATCACCCCACCGGATCGTGAACTTTATGATGATGCAGAGAGCCATGACTATGACGTTCTAGGTCCCGAGGAACCGACGCACATCCCTACTGACCCTAGGAGGCGTCCGGATGTATTAGACATCGTGCTCACTAGGAACGTCAACGACCCAGTAGTTGTAGAAGTGCTGTACGACTTGAATACACAGCACCTCCCGATTCTGATAACCCTTGGCACTAAGGCAGTGACATCACCGCCCAGAGCTGTCAAGACCAAGATCGACTGGAGGCTCTACTACCAACACCTGCAGGAGAGACCTCCAGTCCATACACAGATTAACTCAGCGGACGATGTAGAGGCCGCTGCAACTAGAATATCCACGTGTATCCAGGAGGCCCTCAACGCGGCCTCTACGATCGTCCCTCTCACGGGAAGAAAAGAGGAGCTGCCGCTAAGATTGCGCGTGCAGCTAAACCATAAAAGAGCGCTGAGGAAGCTCTGGGTGCGTACTCGCTGCCCTAGAGTAAAAAGAAAACTAAACACCTTGTCAGACGAACTGTCGGTTGCAATACACACACAGAGGAGAGGCCTGGGAGCGGCGCATATGGAAGGCTGACGAACAGCACGCGTCGCTCTACAAATTGAACCGGCAGTTAACGAAAACTCGACCACCTGTTTTCCCGCTGACCAACAACGCGGGCATCCAGCGTTAAGATGCCAAGGGCAGAGCGGATATCCTAGCTGAGCACTTCGAGGAGCAGTTTATGCTGAACCGAGCAAGTGCGGAGTTCCTGGAAATCCATACTCGGAAAGAGAGCCGCGTGCAGGAGCTCCTGTCGTCACCCGCGCCACCGCTTGCAGGAGAGTGGTTCATCTCCCCCGCTGAACTGCGGAGGACAGTAACCCGCCTGCAACCGAGGAAGGCGCCGGGGCACGACGGGATTACCAACGCTGCACTACGACGGCTGCCCAATAGAGTCCTTGTAGAGATAGGTCGGCTCTACAATGGCATATTGCGGACATCCTACTTCCCGGAGGACTGGAAGAAAGGCAAAGTTATCGTCTTGCCGAAACCCGGGAAGGACAGGCGTAGAGCTGCCAACTACAGGCCGATCACGCTGCTACCGCATATAGCTAAACTGTGCGAAAGACTACTGTTAAGACGTCTCCGCCCGTGCATCCAACTTCGGGCGGAGCAACATGGATTCAGGAGGGATCACTCCACAGCAACACAGCTGACCAGAGTACTGCACCTGCTTGCGGCTGAGCACAACCGAGGCCGCACATCGTTGGGCGTCTTTCTCGATATCGAGAAGGCGTTCGACCGGGTGTGGGACATGGGATTACTCTACAAATTAGACGATCAAACAAGTATCCCTCCTGCTATATTGCGGCTAGTGGCGTCTTTCCTGGAAGGCAGGAAGTTCTACGTCTGCATAGAGGACGCCGAGTCCGCAATAAAAACCATTACAGCTGGTGTGCCACAGGGCAGCTCTCTGTCTCCAGCCCTGTACGCGGCGTACACCAATGACATTCCTACCCTGGCAAGACACTTGCACGAATGGGAGGACGACGTAGAGCTAGCGCTCTTTGCGGATGACAGCGCATACTTCACGTCGTCCAGAAGAGCCCACATAGCAGCTGCCAGGATGCAACGTCTGCTGGACCTGCTGCCACCATGGTTGGATGATTGGAGGATGGCCGTCAATGTTAGCAAGACGACCGCTCTACTCACTCGCCGCTATAGAAATCTACCACCACCGCTAACCCTCGGAGGCCAGGAGATCGCATATGAGAACGCCGTGACCTACCTTGGATGCCGGATTGACAGGATGTTGCGTATGACTGCGCACGTCGACTTTGCTATACGCAAAGCTCGATGTGCGCGGGCAATGCTCCGCCCTGTCCTGACATCCAAGTTACCGACAAAGTCGAAGCTAACCATCTATAAAACATACATAAGACATCTGCTAACATACGCTGCTCCGGCCTGGTATGCACTCCTGAGCGATCGTCAGAAGCGGCGACTTCAGGCCCAGCAGAGTTTGTCATTACGAACTATAGTCGGTGCGGGTCGCTACGTCCGGAATGACGTCATAGCGGCCAACCTAAAGATAGAGAGCCTGCAAGAATTCGTGGTCCGGCTGGCGCGCGGTATGTTCGACCGCGCCGACAACGGGCCACATGAACACCTCAAAGGATTCGCGCCGTTACACTCACGGCCTCCGGACGGGCGACCCTATCCAAGAGAACTCCTCCCTATATAGATTAGGGAGTTGAGTAAATCCCACAATGCCGCAGAAAGGCCAACTTCGACAAAATAATTTGTGTTTAAACACAAATTATAGATAACCTACTTTAATAATAATTTACCGACTGCTCGCTGTACTGTACTCGCTGCTCGAGAATCAAGACGCAATTGAATACCCTGTCGGAAGAACTGTCGGTTGCAGTCAAGGCCCACAGAGGAGAGGCCTGGGAGCTGCGCATATGGAAAGCGGAAGAGCAGGATGCGTCGCTCTACAAACTGAACCGACAGTTAACTAAAACCAGACCTCCCGTTTACCCGCTGACCAACAACGCGGGGGAACGTCGTTACGATGCCAATGATAGAGCGGATATCCTAGTAGAGCACTTCGAGGAGCAATTTATGCCGAACGCAGCAAGTGCGGAAGGAGAATCGCGTACAGGAGTTCTTGTCGTCGCCCGCGCCACCGTTTGCAGGAGAGTAGTTCATCTCCCCCGCTGAACTGCGGTGGATAGTAACCCGCCTGCCACTGAGGAATGCGCCGGGGCACGATGGGATTACCAACGCTGCACTCCGACAGCTGCCCAATGGAGTCCTAGTATAGCTTGGTCGACTCTACAATGGGATACTGCGGACATCCCACTTCCCGGAGGACTGGAAGAAAGGCAAAGTCATCGTCTTGTCGAAACCCGGGAAGGACAGGCGTAGAGCTGCCAGCTACAGGCCGATCACGCTGCTACCGCACATAGCTAAAGTGCTTGAAAGGTTGTTGCTGAGACGCCTCCGTCCGTGCATCCTACTTCGGGCGGAGCATCACGGATTCAGGAGGAATCACTCTACAGCGACACCGCTGAACAGAGTGCTGCACCTGCTTGCGGCAAAGTACAACCGCGGCCGCATATCGTTGGGCGTCTTTCTCGACATAGAGAAGGCGTTCGACAGGGTGTGGCAATCTGGACTACTTTACAAATTGGAAGAACAGACCAGTGTCCCTCCTGCTATGTTGCGGCTATTGGCGTCTTTCCTGGCAGACAGGAAGTTCTATGTCTGCATAGAGGACGCCGTGTCCGCAACAAGATCCATTAGAGCCGGCGTTCCACGGGGCAGCTGTTTGTCTCCAGTCCTGAACGCGGCTTACACCAACGACATCCCAACACTGGCAGGACAGCTGCGAGAGTGCGAGGATAACGTGGAGCCGAAATGATATGCGGACGATAGTGCCTATTTCACCTCGTCCAGAAGAGCCCACACCGCCACTGCCAGGATGCAACGTCTGCTGGACCTGTTGCCACTATGGCTGGATGAGTGGAGGATGGTCGTCAACGTTTGTAAGACGACCGCTCTGCTCACTCGCCGTCTCAGAAACCTACCACCTCCTTTGACGCTCAATGGCCAGAAGATCGCGTACGAGAAGGCCGTGACCTACCTTGGGTGCCGGATTGACAGGACGCTGCGCATGGCCGCACACGGTGACTTCGTCGTCCGCAAAGCCAGATGTGCGCGGGCATATTAGCCGGATGACCATATTATACCCTCACGTACTATAATAAAATTATTTTAATAGACATTAATAATATAATTAGGAAAGTTTTGAATACATTATAACTTATCCAAATGTAATTTAAGACAGTTAGCAAATGTTTTATCTTTATTTATACATTAGCTCAGCCAAAGACTTGGCTATGCACACATCTGCTCTTATTGATGAGCATAATGATATGCAATTTGGAATCAGTTCCAAATAATTTAAATTAGAAAATAATACAATAAAGGTAATCTCTAGCGGTTATGATAATTTAAATAATTTAGAATGTAGCTTACAAATTCTTAATAATTGCAATTCTTTGACTCCACAAAATGATAAAAAAATTGTTTACACCTGGTACATAAAAATGTACAAAGCGTGATAGGCAAAGAACTAGAAATTGAATTGTTCTTAAATAGCAACAATATTCATACTTTATGTATTACTGAACATTGATTAAAAGCTTATGACTTAATGTTTAACTTCAGTAATCACCAGGTGTTCAGTTCTTTCAACAGATAAACGGTTTTTAAGAGGTGGCTTCTTAATTTTAGCTAGTAAATTATTATCATGTAAAGAACGTTAAGGTATTGTAAGCTTTTCTGTTGAGCGAAATATAGTTTTTGATTTATAATAATGTACAAAATTTCGTACTGCTATGTATAAAATTTCGTAAAAGATCTCTAGAAGCTCATTCACATCACAAAGTCCACCAAACTTCTGCACCCAATTTATTTCTTGTAAAAATTTACGGATTAATTTGTAATTTGCTTTATAAAAATTGATGTTGGAAAATCCAGTCAGAAATGTCAAGTTTTAAAATGAAGTAAATTATACACAATATAATCCGTAATTCAATGTGTAGAGTTCTCGTAAATATAAGAAACCATTAATAATTGTTTTAAGTGGATTTTCATACGTTAAAGTAGTGGAATTTCGTGTAAAATAATTGTTTTAAGTGGATTTTCATACGTTAAAGTAGTGGAATTTCGTGTAATAAATGTCTGCACATGTAAACTGTTAGTAAAAACGATGTAGATAATAAGTTCTTGACGGTGATATAAATTTCAAGTTTTTTATCCATTTCTAAGTGCTCTTGAGATAATACCGCATCGACTATGCGCTAGATTAAGCTGTAATCTTAAAAAAATCTCCCAACAACTTAGCAATCAGTATTTTGTAAAAATTTTAGTTTAGAGAACAGAATGAGGTAGACTAGGTTGTATGATCTAAGACCTTTGTTTGCCTTAATTGGCGAATCGTAACAATATACACAATCTCTATGATATTGACCAAGAACTAGAATAGGTACATATTTTTAAGGAATTTTAGTTTTACATATACATAACTAAACGAATACAGAAAATTTTGTAAGATAATAGTGTTTGCTTATACATATATGTAAATTAAGTAATATATAATTTTAATATGTACAAATTATAATACTTTCAGGTAGAATCTATTGGAAGGCTACGCCCTATTGTTCTAAGTGGACTGTTTATTTTTGCGTTCATCATAGGCCTATCAGACACCGCCGTTATGGATATGATGGTATCGACATTGCAACAGCAACGTGCTGTTACCGAACAACTAAGACGAGAAGCTGCTATTAAACGCATTCCTGTTTCAGTGGCAGTGGCTGATATTGTCAGGTACATTAACGACCACGAGCAAGAAGACTGCTTACTGGTTGGGTTTTCAAGCCAAAAGGTCAATCCTTTTCGCGAGAAAAGTTCTTGCACAGTTCTTTAAAATATATAATATAAATGATTGATGTCTTTTTCAAATCTGTGTAAACTACATCCTTATCATTTTACACTATCTTTTAATCAATCATAACTATCGTTACTATATCAGCTTTTAAAGTCCTTTTGCTCTGTATACATTTACTTATTTGACATGAACTTATTGATTACTAGTTGTTAATGGAATCAAAATATAGTCATATTTATATTGCATCTGTAAGAAAATTTACCTGTATTGTATGATTCCAAATATATGATAATTATTAAGTATTTGTTTTATTTCCTACACCATTTAAGTTCACATTTAAGACATTTACCTCTTCATATAGTATCTATCATGTAAAATTTCAATAGCACAATTTTTCAAGAGCAACATGCACCTTCTTTGCTGCTGCTCCGTTTGTGGTGCACTGTTATAAAGCAGGCTTCAAGATGGTTTTAAACCTTCCTGGGCTTGGTCAACTCGAAAGACACCCATTAGACAACAGTGGGATAGATTTTCTAACCACCACCACAAGAGATAAACCAGTGAAATAAAAATCATATATTATTCCTTTTAATGTTTATTAGTGCACAAAAAATCAATTCCAGGATATGGGAATAGCTCAAGTTACAAAATTAAAAAAATGTTAAATGCTTTGGTAAATTTATGTTATTATCTGTAAGGGATTATAGTTCTAAGCCTTTAGTTAGGTAACTACTATGAATCAATAGACCTAGTTTAAAAGTTTTTCTATTTATAAACCATATTTGCATAATATATGAATAAGATCAATATAATATTAAACTAGGTACGTATATTAAGCTACATTTATTAGTGGTTAGGAAATGGGTTTGTGCTCTGACAAAAAAGTATCTTTAAGTTATATTATTATATAATTTTGCAGCTTACATAAATAATACATCAAAAAAATTTGTTTTGAATATTTATGAAGTGTGAACTTCTTGATTTACAAAATTTATGACGATCTGATGTGAGTGTGTGTGTGTATGTGTGAAATAACATTGGTCTTAATCAATTGTATATTAGTACATAATTTTTGCTAATAATGGAACAAATAGTTTTGATAAGCTACATAAATTACATAGACAATGCCATTGCAAACCTGAGTTTGGTTTCCCAGTTGGTAGCTAAATTGTGCATTAATATGTTTTATTACAATAGGTGCAATTTTATATCACAATAAACAGAAGAATTTAAATGTGTTTAGAAATAAACGGTACAATTATACACAGATTTTGATATTTAAAACTACTCTTATTACAAAATTTGAGAACCTCAACTAAAATATAATATTATTTGATAGTTGTGTATAATTAATTCTCATCGCGCAATTCCTACAGTCCACTTCAATCTCTCAATTCATAAGCCTTTATTTATTTGTTTCCATTTGTCTTGTGGCAGTGGAGTGGAACATAAGTAAAACTTATTTAATATTTGTAAATTGCTTGAGCAAATTTGGAATTAAATGAATTAACCTTATTACTCTAGGGGTAAAACTATATAAAAAAAATAAATTTACCAACTATCAGTCTTTTAAATTGATGTTGATTATCAACCTTGTAGCAATTTGTTTCTCAAAAGTTTACAAAAAGAACAAAAACATAGCTACAAATAATACTCTATATAAGGAAGAAAATGCTTATGTACTAGCATACCTATTGTCAATTATTTATCATAAGATTTTACTAATTTTTATTTCTCTTTACTACTATTATTCTACTTATAATAAAGTAACACAAAATTTACTGTGAATCATGTTATTCAATCCTTATATTCTGCACTGTCAGTATTTTGTATTTGCAATATGAAATAATTTTACCATACAGTGTACAAATAAAAAAAAATATTCTTAAAATTTTTCCCTTATTAAAATACTAAATAAAATCAATTTGATGCAAATAACTCTGTTAGAAACATATACTTTTAACTTAAATTTATAATTAAAGTCAAAGTTTACATTGATAGATACCATTTTAAGCATTAGATGTTGGACTCTTAAATGGAGATTTTAATAATATTTCTAAGAGAATTATTCAAAATATATCATCATTAAAGCCTCTGAAAAGTCCACTGCTGAACTTTGGCCTCCCCCAAGGAATGTCACAAAGCATGTTCCTTAGCTGTAATCATCACTTGAAGTAGCAATAGACCAGTCATATAGCTCAAAGAACCAATAACCAATGGGGAAGAAAGGTGCAAATATGGGATCCCAGTAAATAGAGTGACAACCTGGTAAGACATTGGTTAAGGAAGATGTTTTTTTTTAATGAAGTCTTAATTTTGAGTTTTAATATGAAGTTCTATATTAATAAAGTAGGGTTGAAATTCTATTAAACATTGAATAATAAGAGGATTTAGCCAAACTGAAATATTTATCCTAAATTGTTAACCATCTTTGAGTTATAATTTTTAACATAAATTTTTTAGCAAAATATATAAATACTAAAGTTAAAGTAATATATATATATATATATATATATATATATATATATATATATATATATATATATATATATAATTGGAAGCAATTAAAATGCTAAAAAATAATTATAATACATCAGGGTACATCCCTCAATTCAAATACAATTAACACATTATGGATATATAATGTAAAATTCACATTCTGAAATTAATCTTGCAATTCTTGGACATACAGAATTGTATATAACAAGAAGCACACATTGCCTAATATTAATATCAAATACATAGAACAATGTTAAATATGTTATTATTAAAATTATCATTCAATACTCGAGCTCAAATTCATAAGATTAAATTCACATTAATATCTAATGTTAAACATTCAATTTAATACATCATGATGATTTTTTTAAAATAATTATGTAAGTATTGATATATAAATAATAATAATGTATATATAGTGTTTGCAAATAAATAGAATTTTAGTAGCCAAGATATTCTCTTAATAACTAAATATATTATCTAAGTATATCTGATAAAGCTTCTCATTCTAATGGAAAAAGAAGGCCTCTTTTATTGGTGTATTAAATGATCACTTAGCATTTGTAAAAAATTCTTACCTTGTTATGTACATAAAATAGGGGTTCACATATTTAACCAATAATGCTTTTAAGTCTAAACTATTGAACTATTGTATTTCCCGTTTTTGTTCAAAAGAATTTACAAGCACTGTGTTCTTAAGGAATAAATTTTCTTTGTAAACTTTTGAGATAATACCATCCCTTAAAAATAAATTACTGAGGGTAAGATTAGTATAGGACACTGCTGAATTTGTTTAAGAATACATTTTTAAATCCTGTCCTGGGTTGTCGGTGAAACATCTTCATTACCATTGGCTACACTCTGATGGTAAAGCTTAAGTAATTCCATGGCATCTTGTGCCTGACGCTTTTCCAAAAGTATTCTGAAAGTAAGTAGAGGTAAAATATCACATTTAGTGTATATTTGTTATACACACATACCGTTTTTATATATTTTAAAATCTGCCTACATTTATATTTTAAAATTTATCTACTATCTTATGTATATAATAGTAACCATACCAGAATAACTAAAACACAAAAAAATTAAGATATATGGGATGAGAGCAAGAAGATAATGTTATTTACCTCCCAGAGGCTTCTTTAATATGTTCTAGAATAATTCGATTATCTCTATCAGTGACGATATCTGCAAGACTATCAGGATCCATATCAGAGAGTAATTCCAGATCTTGACCCCCAAGTAATGAGATATGGCATAAATTATGTTGAAGACGTCCTACAAGATTTGCGACTTGACCCTTTTCACCAAGTGCTACATCATCGGTTTGATCAAGTGAAACTTGGCATTTAGGCATATTTGGTGTCCACTTTTCGTTACCATGTAAAATCATGAGGGCGGTATCAGGATCTAAAGTAGAAAAATATTCTTCATCGTCTACTTCGGTACCGTCACATTCCAGTACAACAGTTAAATTTTCGCTGGGCAGCCCTAACTTTTCCGGCACTTTAGCAAGTAAATCTTCTAAAGACGATGCCACCATACCCTTCTTTTTCTCTCGATTCACATCACAAATTTTATAAGGTTTGTTGATGTCGTTCTCCATTATATAATTACAGATTCAATCGCGTATGCAAAACAGTAATTATAATTTTAATACCTATGCCTCAGTCTTTACGAATAAAAGACCAAAACCAAAATTCATAATATTATTTACGCATTTACCAGAATAAAAATTAGTCACCAACAAAGAGTATAAATTTACTGGTTCACTAGTCACTACCTATAGACAAAAGGATAAATAAAAACTTTGACACAATTTAAAATATTGCCAGAATTGAAGATATACACAGAATTGAAGGTTTACACCCAACACAATTTTTTCGATATTTATTTTTCACAATTATAATTATTTCGTAATTTTTGAAATAAATACAAATAATATTGTTTCACGAATAAAGATGGAAAACTCTTAAAACACTATAACATATACAATAAATATAAAAAAATACACTGACGTTCCATTAGAGGCACGAGCTAGGAGCTCGAAAATATAGAAATTAGCGAAACAGGCTAGCGACTGTCTTCGCCGAGCAGACTATTCAATATGATGCTTTGCTCTGACTCTGTCCTTCTATGCTCTGTTCAGTATTTCAGTCCAGCATACCATTACTAAAGTACTCATTCTCGAAAGGTATGTGATGTGAGTTCTCTCCCGGATACACACAGGTATAATCGGTGTTAATGGGCACAAGACCTTTTTAAATAAAATGCATGGTATACTACAATGGTAATATAATATGTCGTTCTTGTTTAAAGAGCTTTGTCTTAATTTCGTAGGTATTCAAGTAAATAAAATTTAATGTTCGGTAGCTTTAATTCATTTATTAGGCTCAGGTTTTCTCTCATTCTTAAATGTGAAAGATGTAAATCAGTCAACAACATTTTTAATTTCTCAGTGTAAATTTCTCCAAAACATTTCTTTCCCACCGCGCAGGTTAACTAACAACAGGTTGATCATAAAGTTCGAAATTCATTAA